GATTCGAGAAGAGCGCGTCGAGAAATTTCGAACAGAGAGCGCCAGAGTATAAATACGGCAGAAGTTCGCTCTTTGGCTCAATTCAATTCAAGCAAGTGAACTGAAAACGTCGAAAGACAAAAGCGAAATACAAACAAGCGACTAGCTGAACAAGCTACAATACAAGAACTGAATAATTTGAAACCAAGTAAAGTCGAATTAATCTGAAAAGTTAAAGAAAGTTAAAAAAGAAGTAAATAGTATAGTATTTAAAGAAAGAGAAAGAGGAAATCCATTTCCACAACAACTAGAAGTTGAACAACAACAGAAGAGAAGAGAAGGAGAACATAGAACACAGAACAAACAGAATGCCAGCTATTGGAATTGATTTGGGCACCACGTACTCTTGCGTGGGTGTCTACCAGCATGGCAAGGTGGAGATCATTGCCAATGACCAAGGCAACAGAACGACGCCCAGCTATGTGGCTTTCACAGACTCGGAGCGTCTGATTGGTGACGCGGCCAAGAACCAGGTGGCGATGAACCCCAAGAACACAGTATTCGATGCGAAGCGTCTGATTGGTCGCAAGTACGACGATCCGAAAATAGCAGAGGACATCAAGCACTGGCCCTTTAAGGTAGTCAGCGAAGGTGGCAAGCCCAAGATTGGCGTCGAGTTTAAGGGAGAGCAGAAGCGCTTTGCACCCGAGGAGATCAGCTCAATGGTGCTATCGAAGATGAAGGAGACAGCCGAGGCGTATCTGGGCCAGCCCGTCACAGACGCAGTCATCACAGTACCCGCCTACTTCAACGACTCGCAGCGCCAAGCCACCAAAGACGCAGGCCACATAGCCGGCCTGAACGTGCTGAGGATAATCAACGAGCCGACGGCGGCGGCACTGGCCTATGGCCTCGACAAGAATCTGAAGGGAGAGCGCAATGTGCTCATCTTCGATCTGGGTGGCGGCACCTTTGATGTATCCATTTTGACCATCGACGAGGGTTCGCTGTTCGAGGTGCGAGCTACGGCCGGTGACACACATTTGGGCGGCGAGGACTTCGACAACAGACTGGTCACCCATCTGGCGGAGGAGTTCAAGCGAAAGTACAAGAAGGATTTGCGCTCTAATCCTCGTGCTCTGCGTCGCCTGCGCACTGCGGCGGAGCGAGCCAAGCGCACGCTCTCGTCCAGCACAGAGGCGACAATTGAGGTGGATGCGTTGTTTGAGGGCCACGACTTCTACACAAAGGTGAGCCGAGCGAGATTCGAGGAGCTGTGCGCCGATCTGTTCCGCAACACACTGGCGCCAGTGGAGAAGGCACTGAACGATGCCAAAATGGACAAACAGCAGATCCACGACATTGTGCTAGTCGGCGGCTCGACGCGCATTCCAAAGGTGCAGAACTTGTTGCAACAGTTCTTCTGCGGCAAGAGCCTGAACCTTTCCATCAACCCCGACGAGGCGGTGGCCTACGGTGCAGCCGTCCAAGCAGCTATACTCAGCGGCGACCAGAGCGGCAAGATCCAGGACGTGCTGCTAGTGGACGTGGCTCCCCTTTCGCTGGGCATCGAGACGGCAGGCGGCGTCATGACCAAGCTGATTGAGCGCAACTCGCGCATCCCGTGCAAGCAGACGAAGACCTTTTCGACGTACTCGGACAACCAGCCAGGTGTCTCTATTCAGGTGTTCGAGGGCGAGCGCGCCCTTACGCGAGACAACAATGCTCTGGGCACCTTCGATTTGTCAGGCATTCCGCCAGCACCGCGCGGCGTGCCCCAGATCGAGGTCACCTTCGACATGGACGCCAATGGTATCCTGAACGTATCAGCCAAAGAGATGAGCACCGGCAAAGCCAAGAACATTACCATCAAGAACGACAAGGGCCGGCTCTCGCAGGCAGAGATCGATCGCATGGTAAACGAGGCCGAGCGCTACGCCGACGAGGATGAGAAGCAGCGCCAACGCATCTCGGCTCGCAATAGCCTCGAGAGTTACGTGTTCGGCGTCAAGCAGGCCGTGGAGCAGGCCACTCCCGACAAGCTGAGTGAGAGCGAGAAATCTTCTGTACTCGAGAAGTGCGACGAGACGGTCAAGTGGCTGGACGCCAACACGACAGCCGACAAGGACGAGTACGAGTACAAACTGAAGGAACTTACGCAGCACTGTTCCCCAATTATGACCAAGATGCACCAACAAGGTCAGCCACAGAGCAACAACGCCAACTGTGGCCAGCAGGCGGGCGGCTTTGGTGGTGCGGGCTACAAAGGACCCACCGTGGAGGAGGTCGACTAAAGTCATTCCCAGCCATAGCTCTCCTATACTTGATATTAGTTTTTAGTTAAGCAGACTGATTA